CCTGCCAGTCTGAAGTGGCTGAAGCCTAGAACAGAGAAATGGGAGACTTATTCTGAGGAGAATCAACTTCAGCAATATTAGTCCTCAAGTTCAGACATACAGGTTTTAGAGAAGCATTCTGGTCCTCGTTCCCAGATGGACAGGTGACTTCATTCCTCACATACACCTGCAGAGAAACCAGGATCTTAAAGACTTGTAACAATTCTTCCAAAATTATTATTACTATTACTAAATTACTTATTACAGGTACCCAAGCTTACTTCCATGTAGCTAACATCACAGGTAACCTCTCTGGGAGCCCAGGGGAGTTTGGGAGAACAGGTCTTGTTTAAAGCATAGGCGGCCTTCTCTCCTTCATGCGTTGCAATGAGGTTGAACTTAAAAGTGAAGATTTCATCATCCTGAAGAAAAACCCATAAAATGTGTTCTATAAAAACCTAGGTGTTAGAATTGTAACTCCTGGGCAATCTAGAGTTTTGTTCCTAAAGTAACACCCAATTTCATTTAGTTTGTGTTGATAAAGGTCATTGTACATACTTTGTTGTCAGTGTGACAGCTGAAGTAAGAGGCTCGGAGCTCCACATGGCCTGATAAAGGGACAATGCTGACGCTGTAGCCACATGTTGCTGCATACTGCTCACTGATTGGGTATACACCCGTCTTATCTGGAGGACAATTATACAAATTATTAAACCCAACAGATCTCTGCACCCCTCTAAGTTTAAGCCTAATTCTCAAGCCACACTTCAGTGATTAGATGTTCGAGTTCAGGGGTGTCCGTTTGTGATGAAGCTGAGGACTTACCAACAGCCTCAAAGTGAGGTTCATTCCCAGCGAACGAGAGATCAACAGCTATCATGAAGAAGCGATCACGACACTCCATGTTAAGAACTTCTGCACTGACAAAGAACAAAATAGTCAAAATGGTTCAGTTATTGTAGGCCTATAAGCAAACATTTTAATTCTCACCATTGGGAATTTGACATTTTGCAGTTGACCACACAGACAGCAGCAAGGCCACACTGTAAAACAAAGGCATATATGTATATAAACTGCCAATATACAGGTAAATTAACATCAACTGGCTTGTAAACTGAATTCAGAGCCCCTTACCCAAAGAAAAAACCCAAAGCCATAGCCACTGATGTGTTGGCAGTGTCTAAAGCTAGCCTAGCTAGTAGCAAACTACACCTGCTAACCAACACAAGCTAAAGTGAACCACTTGCTTGGTACGTACTGGCCAAACTGGCACCACATGGTGGTTATCTCCTACACCAGTTTTTATGGAGTCCATTTCCTCACCAACCAACCAGAGGCCCTCAGGCGTTACAGCCACGTGTAGCTCATTAGCAATCAAGCCATCTTCAGTCAGTGGACCTTTTTCACAGCATACGTTTGAAAAGACAGGTGCAACCCATTACATTAATGGCATGTCAGTGAAGCAGCATGTTGGGCTCTAGAACTAGCACACCAAAACTGACAGCAGACATCAGTTCAGGTCAGCAAGGTCAACAGTCAGTGTTACCTTCTGTAATTATTGGTATGAATGATTCCTGCATTATTATTACATTTCCAATACTGTTATTTTGTGTTTGTGTATTATGATTGACTATGATCCAGATATGGGTTCACCCCTAGACACACAAGGTAGCGGGCCCACTGTGGGTTTGGTCCCTTCCTAAACTGGTCCCAGACCCCAATGAGGGGCCTGTTCATTAGGGACTGGCTTCGGTTGGATTCAGTTCTGGTCTTAGTTGAGGGGGACTGAGGTGACCCAGCCTTCCTTCTCCATGATGCTTACTTCAGAATTATCTGTCAGAGTTCCCCGAACCAACACAATCCAGCTGCCAGAAACGAGACGGGGCATTATTAATGTGGTAAATTTATCCTGTGTCTCTTGCTATGACATGTCAAAACGCTATGTCACGTTATGTTACAGCTCATTAGTTGAGGTTTCTCTCTGGTTCACCTTCACTAAAAACAGGCCTTGGTATTTAGGAAAATCTAAAAAGCACCAAAAGTCTCTATTTCAGTAGTAGATGCTTGAGGTAGACAATGCCAGTGTTTATGTTTTATTATATATTCAATTAATCATACAACACAAAAACATGTTTACAAAAAGAAACAATACCTATTCATTTAATTTCTCATATCACAAACACTAAAGAGAAGATACATAAAATAATTCACAACAAAAATATAAAATAAAACTGAGCTCATTTATTTAATTTGCTGGTCCTGTATGCAGAAGCCGATGTGCAGAGTATCAGCAGCAGCATGGAGACAAGCGTCCACGTGATCCACTCTGAAACTCCATATAAGAAGAAAGAAGTTAAACATCTTGTTACACCGACTTATATGACAGTAAAATATATAAATTATCTCTGACATTCCCATAATACGACTCCCCCCAGATCAGTTGATTGAAATATAGTTTCACAGCAGCACTACCTAGACGAAGGTTTTGCCGTCCATCCAAATTCACCCTCCATTTTCTTTGACCTAATAGGAGTGGAGATCACACATTTACATAATTAATATTAAATATCACCTTTGAAAAAAACCCAACTAACTGAAGTCACAGCTTTTTACACACCTGTGTTTGCAGCTTCCCTGCGTGTGCGTTTGACTGGCATGGGTGAAAGGTCCTGAGAAGAGCTCACAGGCTGATGTATAGCAAGAGTGCTCGTATCGTTTGCTGGGTAGCGGCATTGAATTGTCAGCCTAAAGAAAGACAAGACTTACGTCAACACTATCATCTGGTTTAAAGACAGGTTGAAGTCAGTATGTGTTTCTCACCTGTATGGAGAATCTCTGTGTATGAGAGGATCATCCAAAGGCAGAACATCTTGAGGGTAACTGATCTGATTTTCATAAACAAGGAAATTTCCCTCAGTCTGAGGAAATATGAGGACATCAGAAACAAGGCCAAAAAGCATATTTTGTGTGTGAATCTCGAACAGTTGGGGATCTCACAGTGACCGTAGTCCCACAGGAGTCCAGGCTGAAGCTGAACAGCGCTCTGGCACTGTCTGTCTCCATGGGAACACAGCCGGGGTCCAATAGGGTGGTTCGGTTGGGGTGAGTGGGCGGGATGGTGTGGGTGGTGTCGACTACTGCCACCATCCTCCCTTCTGGCAAACATGCTACAGAAACACTGCGAGTGTCAATGTTAATATGAATTAAATCTAAGACTTTTATGGCTTCAGTTGGAGGTTGTAGTTTGTACCTAGTAGTTCTCTAACAGCAAAGGTGCATTTATGGATGAGAAAATCCTCCACTTTAAGAGACTCTGCACTCACAACAGACACGTCCACACCAGAGACAAGACCCTGCAATGTCAGCTCCTGCATGGGAAAAGAAGAAGCAGCTTTATGATGGACTGACAGTATAAATTACATTGTAAACAAGCACAAACACTGGATCTTTTTTTATATTATCACTGATGGTAAGAAACAGGAGCTTGTTTTCAAGTATCCATGACGTGTTGAAATCCTCTATTTGCATTAAGATGGTTTTAAGAAACCCAGCCTGAGGAGTGTTTCTAATCCTTTAATTTAATTGGAAAGTTAATTTACCGAATTGAGCAAACAGATGGGATCCTTGCATCAGATTCAGTAAGATGGAGATTAGACAATAGCTGAGTAAATGAGCAAGAAAAAAATAATTAAGTTAAAAACATACCTTCTAACAGTCTAATTGCTACATTATCTGTCATCCCAAAGCTCATGTAAAGCAGGTTTTAGACTAAGTAAGAAAATGGAAAACAAGGTGGAATATTTTCCAGAAATCTCTGGTACAACAGAATTATCCACAACAGAAAGTGTAAAAAACTACAATTCATCACCCCATAGTTCATCCCAGGGCTGTAGAGGGGGATCTCCACAGTCAAGTAGTCCTCCTCCGCCTCCACCACGAACCCGCCCATCTCCACCAGGTCCCAGTCCAGCTTGCGGGCTCCGAGGTAGAGCTCCCACTGCAGCTCGCCCTGGGCCCCGTGGTGCAGCAGCACCACCAGGCTGCTGTCTGTGCACTTCCCCTCCAGTTTGGGGGAACTTGGAGCTGCACCAGGAAAGAAAGGGAATCATCAGGGGCACATGTTTTTTTTAAGAGAGGAGTTTAACATTTGGTTGGTTTGCATTGATTTCTAACATCTGTTCATTAATAGGATGATTCCATTTTCTAAAGCACACGGTCTTCACGATCTGTGAAGCACTAGCTGATTAATTTAAACAATATGTTTCGGCACAAGGCCCTCATCGCCCTGTTCAACAACCTATATATGCACTTTACGAGGAGGCTGAATATTGTTCACTAGTACAGTGTACAGTATATTTATTTAAACTGCACCAAATTACTCACCTGTGTATTCAGCACTATGCTCTACGGTGGCCTGATGGTAAAACACCTCTCCACTGGGTAAGATAGTAAGAGTAAAGGTGAAAGAGAGGCTGTACGTCTTATAGCCACCACCTATATACTGGGGTGAGACAGCAGGGTGTTTCACATACTTCTGAACTTCAACACATAATAAAACTGCTCATTCAATCTCACCTCCGGGATTATTTTCGGGTGTGACAGCGGGAAACGAATCTGGTAAGAGTGGCTCCCGTTGGAGGTGGAGAGCCTGGACACCCTGAGGTCTGTGCTGCTCTCTGTTTGTTGGCTCTGGGTCCAGGTTAACAGGTCGCCGCCACCATCGACTGTCACCTTCTGGAGGGAAACATCAGGCGCAAAGAGGCCTAAAGTGGCAGCAAACAATCCCTCAGATGGGACAGTGTCTGTGGAGAGAGAGAGAGAGAGAGAGAGAGAGAGAAGAGAGAGAAGAGAGAGAGAGAGAGAGAAGAGAGAGAGACAGAGGAGAGAGTGATGGAACATGTTGGAAACCTAAAGGCTCCAATTCAACATCTTTTTCTGTGTAACTTTAAAAGTAGTCTGTGAAATGATGAATAGCTCCAAAACTAAATGTCATGATACATCAACTGCATGCAAAATGACATTTAAAATAATGACATTTCCTGTCCAGTGCAGTGAAGCTTGTTCCACTATTAAGCTTCACATGTAAAAACAATTAAAAAAACAAAAATAAAACCTTCAATTAATGAGAATTTTCTTAAAATCATTCATTTCCAAAGCAGATTTTTGTAACATATGTTCACATTATTATGATACAATAACAGTACAATAATATTTACCTCCTCTTCATCTTATCTCCTGTTAAATGTTGCCAAATTATCACCCAGCCCCATTATACAATCTTTATTCTTGTTAGGGTTAAATATGCATAAACAAATAAGCTAACGTGGCCTAAGAAAGCCTTACTGTTGGTGAAGACTGGGATTTGTGGGATGAGACGAGTCTTAAGGAGCCTGAAGGAGCGATGTTGTGTGAGAGGCCAGCGCTCGTCCTCCCACTGCCTCATGAAGAACAGATCCACTGACATGGACTGGCTGTACTGTCCTCTCACAACACCACTCTGAAACAAACCACAACAGACACAGACAACTGTGATAGCAATACGCAGGCTGGTAGCAAGACATGTACTTCATGACATTCATCTATTAGAAGTATGCAGAAATAAATACTGTTCTTAGTCAAGGTGGATAAAAAAAACAACAATAAACAGACAAAACATTAAAGTAAAACACTTAAACTCTCATCATATCTGGAGGATCCAGTTTGTCTGTGCAACAACAACCCAGATAAATGTCCTTGCTGTTTTTAAAACCCGTTTTGTACTCGTAGCAGTGCTTCCCAACCTTTTTGTCTATTAATGCTTCCACAAAACAGCAACTTTCCCTCTCAGGCTGCTTCATTTAAAGTATGTCTAGAGGCCTGAATCCAGTATTTTACCGAAAAAAACTAAATATTCATCTTTTAAATAATGTTATCCCTCAGATTTACCCACTGGGAGGTAGTGAGAACCACTATCAGTCTACAGTAACATCTATATACCTTAATGCGTCCACCGAAGGCTCCTAAAGGAATCCTGACTTCCACTCTCCCCTCCTGCAGGCCCATCTTGAATCCCCTCTCTTTATTTTCAGACTCACTCAGAGGTCGGCCGTTCAATCCGATCCTCACGCCTCCATCCCTGAACTGACCGTGGACTAACGGGGACAGAACATGAGGGACAGTCCACAGCAGGTCGGACCCATCTGCTGTCGCCTCATCTGGGGGTGAGAGAGGGGAGAGGAGAGAGACATTTCATTCTGGTGTTTTACAGTTGCAAACTAACGTAATGATGA